CACCGGGCGGGAGGCGGCGGGCCCGGGGGAGAGCGAGAGGCACCCGCCGGCCTTTCGTGTACATCCTGGTAGGGCTGATGGATGAAGACGGGTCAATATAAATTCCGTTTTGCTTTAACCAATGCTCAGCAGTAAAGTAAGGAAACCATCGACCTAAGACGTTGCCGGGCAGCACACTGGATTTGTTTCCGTATGCTTTAAGTGGTGTCAATTCCCTGATTTCACTCGCACAGCCAAAAGTCCTGCTGATGGTACTCCAAGAAGACCTGTTTTGTCTGTCAGTGCAAGAAAAATTAAAGATAATGCAGCGGACTGGCACAACTTCATGATGAAGTGGGAGAGACTGAATGACAGTGGCTTTACTCTAGCGAACAAAATAGTCAACATGAAGATGAGTGAGCAGTAAGTATGCTGCTGTGAGTAAAGACACCATAAAAATTGCATTTACTGAGAAATTAACCTGTTTTCTTAACTAGAAAGTTCTTTCTGAAGGTGGGGGAAGGAAGATGTCCGAGCGGATAGCAGATAAATTACCGGCTAGACAAAACTCAGCAGTTGCGCTTTTTGGTTACATACGCTTCATTCAAATAATAAATGTCTCATGAAGATTAAAGTAATCTCATAAAGTAATGATATTTGTAAGAAATTGAAAATGTTTGTTATACATAAGTATAATTCATATTTTAAACATGTATATAATGTACAAAGTTAGAATCTAATCCTATAGATCTCAGCCCATGTGAATTCCTTTACTCTCTTGCATATTTACACTGAGGCCCCTATTACCAAATTTCACTCTAGCCAAGAGATTTTAGGAGAGAATCTGTGATTTATATAGACAAAAAGTTACAACAGTGATGATCAAAACAAAACCTAAAGAAACCCACTTTGATAGAGCTATTGTCTTTGTGCTGTAAAGAAAAAACTATAACTGTCAGGGTTTTGAGAAGAAACTTGGGACTCCAGAGTCCTGACAGTTGAGCAGAGTTTGTCTGACAGGTACAAGCTCAGGAGCATTTTCCTGTAATGGTGTCAAGTGTGGCTTTTGCTCTCTGGCAACTCGCTCTCCCCTGTGTAAGTTTACAGCTTCTGTGGAAAGGTCAGCAAGACAGGATAGGTGTCTGCACGTTAACCTGCTCTGGCTTCACAGGTAAGTGACTTGGCTTAAGGCGAGTTTGTGGTGAGGCACCAGATTGTGAGCTAGAGCAGCTGAAGCCTGGGCACACCTTGTCCGTTATGAGAGAATAACCTCCAACAGAGGGACAAGGTAAAGTGGCAAAAGGTGTTATCTTAACACTTTATTCAAGCATGTGCTCTAAGGCAGAGTAATTGGGTGTTCCTCTGAAGATTGTGGTACCAGCCCCAGTTGTTCACATGTCTAGCTAGGTCTCTATTTTTACATAGGAATTCTCATGAGCAGCCTGAGAGAGAGAGATTTTGTAGGATCAGACCACATGGATTTTAAGTCCACATAGCTCAATTAAACCTGTATGCAGTTGTTTTTTACTCTGCCTTATGTTTCTATTTTAGATTTCAAGACAGCAAACCGGAGATGGCATGTGATAACAGTACCACAGAATCTGAGAAGCCAACTCCAAAATATAATGAAGAACTAGACAATTGCTGTGCAGAATTACTTGAGACCTTAAAGCACATGGTAATGCTTATTTTTCAGTCCTAGTCAATATGAATCAATTCCAAGTGTGTTGAAGTATGATGTAAGGAAATGTCCTCAAATACTTGTTGCAAACAAAAAAATGGGGATTTTTATTCATAGTTATTAGGCTTCAGGCCTAAATCTAGTGTGCACCATTTATTTGCTTGACTGGTGATTTTGAAAGTTGATTTTACACCTGCCTTCTGCTTATAATTCTACTTCCTTTATAAAGTGATCTTCTGAAAATGAGTCAAACAAAAAATGCATTCTAAAACTGTACCAGTTTTGTGTTTTCTCATGCTGAATATTCCCTCTGTTTAGAACAAAACAACAAAGCATAAAGCAGTGTTTTACCTGCCATCATATCCTTGCAGCTCTCTTTGATCAGATGTAACGCAGTTACGTCTTCAGTCTGCCTACCTGCATTTTCTGTGCAGAGTTCTTTCTCTAGAGAGTAGAGTAAGATAATTATTATGTAACTCACCTTTTTTTCTTGACACATTACTAGGATTTACTGTCACCTGTCAGTTTGACAGGAAGCAAAAAGGATATTGATACTGTAATTTAAAATTCTTATTTTTAATAACTTTAGAAGTCTTCTACTGAAGTAGAGACCCATTAAAAAGATGATAGATTTGTATTTTTATATAGACAAGATACCAATTCAGTATTTAGAAGAAGCAGAAAAGCAGCTTGATTTTCTGCAAAATTTGTTTTGTGGGGAAAAAGAATTTTTTTTGCATTTTTTTTCTTGAGGTAGTTTTGTATTCAGACTACCAAACATGTTGATGCAGTTTTTTATTACTTCTGAGCAATAGGAGTATATGAAGCCAGTGTTAGCTCGTATACTAAACATAGATACTACAGATATATTTTATTTTTTCATTCCTTATGAATATACCAACTTATGAGTTTATAGAAAAATCTGTATATTAGGTTCTTGACTTAAAGATATTGCCTGCAAGCTCCATTTTGTTGTAAATATTAGTACCCATCAGTAATGCAGCAATCCTTCAGGTGAATACGAAGGAAATGGACGGAATGACCAGTTTTTCAAAGTAAGCTGTAAAATCAGCCTAGATTTATTGTCAGGAGTAGCTTGAGCTGCTTTTCTCACCTGCCACTGATATTTTTTTAATTGGATTTAAGCCATCTTGACATGGTAATGTAAGAAAGCATGTGTTTATAGGGCTTGTGCCACACTTGTTTATAGACAGTCAGATGTTTTTCCCAGTAGTAAACTGCTGGAGAGTGAGGTGGAAAAATGAGAGAGGGCTGTAATATGTTTCTACATGGAGGAAACAAAAGAATTACACAAAATCAGAGTAAGTTGTATCTGTGGTGTTCAGAGTTTTAGGGTATCTCATATTAAATCTTTATATAAGTTCCAGCTTTGATTCCTGTCTTGAGATAAAAGAGTGAGTTAGAAATCTTAAGACTAAATAGCCTTCAGAAATAGTGTGTTTTAATAAAATGCTTAAGGTTATAGTAGCCTAATGTTCCCAAGATGTTCATTAACATTACATGTTCATCACTTTCAGACAAAAATACAACTGAAAATGGAAAAGCTTACTTCGACTACTAAAGCTATCTGTGACTTGGAAGCATTCCACCATGGAGCTGGGAAGTGCACAGTGCCCTTCTTTCATACATGGCCCACACCGTACTTCTGTAAGTGAAATATTGACTATCTTTGCTAATTGTCTTGTGTCATTGATGCCATCTAATTTAGGACTGAAAAATAAACCCTTTTATCTGGATGTCTTGCCAGAGAGAGAAAATCTGTCTCCTTTATAATTGACTAATCAATAAACACATGAATGCACTACTTGGCTTAGGGTTACTGCTGATGACTGCTTGTGTGAATTGCCGAGTGTTGCCTGACATGCAGCAATTCCAGCATAAAACTAAGCTTGTCAGCAGCTTACAGTGTCCGAGCAGTAACAGCCACATCCTTTGTAACTCAGTGGCGTTAAGCCGTAGGCTTAACTGACTTCACTTGACACTGAAATGAAATCCTTGAATGCAAAGAACAATCTCTACCTCGGTTAATTCTCAGGCAGCCAAAGAAAAATACCTCTGATCTGCGTGTCAGTCAAGACAAGTAAAGGAGTGTTCAGTTACTGCCTACTGTTAATATTAATCCTTTCAGCATTCACTTCATGGCAAAAGGTACTCCCTCCAACTGGTATTACTGTGGTCTTAAAACTCTGAATTCAAGAGAAGCCTGCTTGTATGCAAACCAGCTGCCTTCTTTGTGAAGTGAAAGTCATACCTTTGTGAAGCCCTGCTTCTGACTTCACTACCACAAGTTAGTGGGAATCTTGTCTATTAGTTTCTGCCAGCTTAAGAGGGTAAGACTGACAAAGACATTTAATTGCTCTCAAAACACTAATGACTGAATCATTTAGTGATGCGCTCTACTCCGTGAAAGACTAAATCCTCCTGAAGGCAGTGATAGTTCAGGCTAAGTTAGAAACACAGGATCATTCTCTCTTTAAAAATAATTTATGCAGCTATTTTTTAGAAAGTTGAACAATTAAAGGTAATTACATAAATATATCTTTACCTCCCTACCAGTATTACTAACATAACTAGTAAAAGTATTAGTTTTTACGCACTTCAGTTTTGGTCTGTTATTTTGTTTTACCCTTGTTTTTCACTGTTGGCATCACTCACTGGTGATTATGCATTGCTAAAGTGCCTGACGGCAAGTAAGGAGATCCTTTAGAGTAGCTGACATCAACAGTGACTCTAAAATGTGAGGCTTGTACTTCAATATAGCATTAACAAATTTTAAAATCAAATTTCAGTTTTTTGAAAGAACAGCTATAATTGCTGATTTTACAGTGGGTCCTGAGAATCAATACCACTGCTTATTCTAGAACTAAAAGGGGATTCACATCAAAATCACAAGTGTATAAAATATATTCAAAAGCTGAGGAAATTGTTTGGCATTTTATGTCCTAGCGTACAAACATTATTAATGTTGTAGAAAACAAGATGTCTAACTATGGGGAATAGCTTATGAAAGGTGGGATTTTTTTAAATGATCAACCTATCACAAGTATAATTTGATTTCTGGAGAGTGGCTGAAATGTTCTGGTCAATGTACTTAGTTTTTTTCAATCCATTTCAGACGAGGTTTCTCTGAAGCTCTCTGAAATGTACAAGAAGGAACTACAACTCAAGCAAACAATTGTACAAGAAATTGCTCATTCTGCTGACCAGGATCTGATGATGGTCTATTTGTCATCATGGTTGTACCAGCCTTACATTGAGAACAGCAGCAAACTACTGCTTGAAGCCATGCTGCTGGAAACAGGACACAGACAGTGCTAGAATTTCAAATGTTACGTGGCTTCTAACAAAACTGAAATGGCAATTTGCAAGGCTTACCAAGTAAGTTGAATTTTTGTAAAACTTATTAAAAATCTTTTTCCCCATTTGTATTTATTATTTTGTCTCAGCTGATACTCCGTTTTCTTCATGGGTTTAGCTGTTTTATCCATTTTTAAGTGCAATAGAGAGGCTAAAGGTAGGACGAGCGCCCTGAAATCAGAAAGAGGTAAGTACTGCTTGGTGCTCTGGGGGAATTCAATGCACACAGACACCAACAGCAAAGAATTTAACGCCTTTCTAAGTCTTGATAGTCTGAAGTACCCACATTGTCCCTTTCACACAGAAATTCGGTGCTTCTTGATCTTTTGTTTTGTTCCAGACTGAACACGGTGGGTAGTGCTTTTGTACTTGCTTCATAAATGGGGAAAAGGAAAGCACAAAAGACCGGATCCACGTAGTTTGGCATGTGGTTCTGAAATGCTGTCACAGACACTAGTGTACATTCTGGTTTGGTTTTGATCATAGTGTGGTTAGTGATCACCCCTGAAGAGTGATCCGAGCCTGAAGTACCACGCTGGGAAGGTTTAGTACAACTCAGGATGCTGCAATCATACAAAAAAGGTTTTGCGTTTTTTTTTCTAATTAACATTTTTTTCTTTTAGAGGTGTGTCAGGAAAGCATATGTTGAATAAAAACAAGACATGCTTCAGTCATGACCTTGTCCCGTACTGTTTGCTTCCTGTCACAGGGCTCAGTGAGTCTTCCCTTGGATGACTTTCTGGTATCAAGTGGCTTTTGTTTAAAGATGTGCCTCCTCTGTATTTTTGGTCAGCAGTTTACATGACAAGAACCAGTGGCTTAAATTCTTGCTTTTCTTTACTCTGTTTTCCAAGAAAGCAGCAGGGAAGAGAGTGTGTTCAGGAGAAAGTTAATAAAAAAGCAAAATGCTGAAGTGGAATTCAGTACCCTTATTTGATTTCACTCCTAAAGATGTAGTAACTACTGTACTATACCTTTATGTCAGGCCCAGGTAGTGTGGAGAAACAGTTCTGCTTAGCCAGCCCCTAATGAACATTAGATGCTGTTGCAAATAATCACTTCCCAGAAAAATGTGATACAGTGTGGAGACTAGGCATCTGTGTCATCAAATTTCTAGTTAAATCCCTAACGTGCAGTGAATTTAGACCTCCTGCTTACTTCATTATGATTAGTAATCTAAATTCTTCCCACTTCCTGATTGCCCATATGACCTGCTCCTCTATAAACTGTTGATTTAGATCTCTTATTTCACACAATCATGTAGTGTTTCTAAGCGCTGTTGACTTGTTGCTCCTCACAGGTGTTTACCCTTGATTCTCCTTGAAACAACTCTTTGAACTAAAAGACAGTGACACAAAATGCACTCTGCTATGAAATGGCCATAAAGGCTGTGGTTTGCCACTAGAAAAATCTAATTAAAACAGTGAGAGATCTCCCATAGGTAAAGTAGGGTCACTTACTTACCTAGGTCCAAGCTGAAACCCCAGAAGCTTGTAAGGGGAATATGTGAGTTTTCTGCAATCACAGAACAGACAGACGTGAATTGTAAAACAAGGTTGTTTCTGACAGCTTAATAGTGTTCTATTCTTAACCCAAATTTCTAGCACCTAAAAAGAAATTTTGCTGTAGCTCAAGGAGAATACAATCAGTTATGAATAGCTTTGTTAGGTTTTATTATTTTTCTTTCCAAGTGTTCCACCTAGTTTAACAGCCACCTTAATTTATCTGAGTGGGGCCAGACCCTTGTCACTATGGAAACTCCTTTGTACTTGAAAAATATTTTCAAAAGAGAAAAGCTTGGTTCACTTATAGAATTGTTCTTTTAAGACGAGAGTAGGTGTATTGTATCTCCCAGCATGTGCAAATCAATAGGGAAGGCAGAATCGAAGCAGATTTTTGTTTTCTGCGCAGGTGGAAAGTGTGATTTGTTCTTGTTTTTTAGAGGAAATAAGCTCTTCAGGAAAGAGTCTTCATATTCAGAGACCCCCTTGCTTATTGACTCCTGTTGGACACAGGAAGATGACTGCAAAATTGTTGCAGAGGTGTTTTGTCATTAGAGCTCTAAGTAGTTGATTGTTATATTTGAAGCTCTCAGATGTAGTTATTAGACAGTCAGTACAAAAGAGTGTAATAAAGAATTGCTCACTGCAATCAAAGACTTTGAAAGACCAGCAGAACCTTGCTTTGTATGGCATCTTCACTTAAAAGGTAGAACTGTTATCTTCTGAGCATTACTACCTTCTAAAAAAAGAGAGGAAAAAACTCAACGCCAAAACTACACCATAAACCCAACCACCAGAGGGTCACTAATCAGTGATGATATCTTCAACCTCCACACCTAAAAGGCAGTGTTTTGGCTCATCAAATTAATTTTCTAGTTAGGCAACCAAGAAAAAAAACAAAAACTCAAACAACAAACCCAACAAAAAAACCCCAAACACAACTATGTTAAAAGGGATGCAGTAGATTGTTTCATCTCTAAAACATCCTCTCCCTTGTTTAAATTCAGTTCCAGTGTAAGTTTTTCCTCAGTAACAATACCATGAAAAAAATGATGCTTACACTTAAGAATGGTTTCTCCTGCACGTCACAGGTCCTTTTAGCTGATTTGTCCAGTTACCTCAGTAGCATCACGTATTTGGCAATGAGGCAACACACACATTTTAGAAGTACATTACCACTTTTCAGTAATATCTACAGTAGCTCATGAATTAATGGTCATTTATGGCTGTTCTTTTTTACCTGCTAATCTTCTTGAAAGAAAAGTCAGTGCCTTGGAAAGGAAGCTGCTAGAAGGTCTACATGAAAATATTATCTGGAAGTATGACAAAAATACAAGACAGCAGTAGATAAGTAATTTGGTAAGTTTTCTGTCTGCATAGAGAAACAGGGATTATAGTCAAGGATACTTTTTTATTATGATTAAATAGCACAGGGCAGTGTGACGTTACGAGTAAGGTCACAGCTTAGAACTGATGAAAGATGCATCATCTGAAAGAAAAATGTATAAAGTCTAACAAAAATAGACCATCACAGACTAAAGCAGAATAAGAATTCAGTATCTCCTTAAGGAAAATCAGATCACTACTTACACACCTTCCCTTTTCTGTCTGAATAACAGCAATTCTTAAAGGTGTAGCTGAACATTAGACAAGCATACTTAAATACATTTCCAGCAGTTCTTGAGGCTATTCTTCAGATCTTGAGGCTATTTTTGTCTCTAACACAGTGGATGCTTATTTAAGTAAGGATCAGCTAGGCTGTCACATTTTTCCCAGAATGCACAGTGTGTATTATATTTAAAACTGCCCCTTTTTCCAGGCAGATTTGTGCACATCAAGTCTTGATGCTAGTAAGTATTCAGCCTAGCTTTAAGAAAGTGATAGAACAAAATGCTATCTCAATGGCACATTTTTAATACAGTTTTTATTTTACCCATATACAACTTGCTAGTACACAGCACATCACTGCTGAACAGCAGTACAACTTACTGCATTTTTAGATGGCTAGAGAGAAAAGGAATTATATAACAAAAGGGCATAGTGCAACAGTTTTAGGGTTGACAGATTTCTGCTTTCCACCCACCCCCAACATATAAAGCAAATAAAACGTTAATTCTAGAATTTTTGGTTGCAATGCTGCTAGATTTATATAAACATAAGTTATAAAAAGTACAGGGCATAGAAACAGTTTACAAATAAGTTAAATTTCAATTATTTCTATATTCACATTAGAAAAATATACATTTATAGTCAGTCTTTTCCAGAAGAAAGCATATACAGTTTTCTAATTTATGGCTCCAATTCACCTTGCGAGAGCAAAATGTCTTCACTTTGGCCATCTGCTTCCATTGCCAGAAGTGCTTCCACGGTTTCCAAAGGTATCCCCTCAGGTGTGCGAATGTGCATTGTGGTACCGTTGGAATCGGTTACAATAACGATGCCTTCTGCCTGAGACAAAACAGCAGTATCTGGATGAGACAGGAAAATTCCATCTGAAGTCTGAATAAAAATCTGTTCGTGTCCCTGAGACAAAAATTCATGGCTCTCATCAGTAATCTCAAAGGCTACAGTTCCATCTACAGTAACTGTATTCTCCAGCTCGTGTTGTTCCTCTGTCCCACAAGAAAATGCATTCACATTTTTGAAAGAGTTTTCGTGGCTCACGTGAGCAGAGAGGCAGGCATCCTGGACAGGGCTCTGGTGCAACTCGGCCTGAACACCATGTGGGTAGCTCACTGGCACGTTTGTTGAAAAAACCTTCTCAAGTTCCTGCATCTTGTCAGTCATATCAGTATTATGAAGTTGTTCAGAATGTTCTTTAATTGCAAAATTCCGGTTTTCTTCTTGCAGTTGTTGATATTTTTGATTGTGACCTTTCTCCTCACTTGTTGGTAAGCGACTGCTCTGACCGCCCATTGTGTTCTCTGACGCAGAGCCGTGAAGTTCAGGAGCTGACAGCCCAGCTGCCGTGTTCTCGCTCACAAAGCACGCCTGAACTAGTTCAGGTGAGCCCTCTGCTCCACCAGGCAACACAACTTCAGTGTGGAGCAGAGACGCATTACCTGCCAGATCTGGTCCCTGGACGTTCACGGGTTGGGAATACTCTATCCTCATTTTCAGAGTCTGGGAGAAGGTACCTGAATTTTCAGCATTGATTCTAACTCCCGAATCAGGAAGTGAATTATGTTCCTCTGCTGTCAGGAGCGTACTTCTAGTTGTGCAGCAAGTGGGATGCCTATCTTCTGAAAGCAGGGTATCTCCATTTAATGGAATAAAACCTGAAAAAGGGAAAGAAATATCATCTTGTTGGGCAATCTAATAATAGTCCATGTCCAAAAAATTGTTTTTCAGCAATAATTTTGGAGGAAAAGCTAGACTGCTTTCCTGCTTTCTTCCCCCAAATTAGCAAACCCAATGAACCTTACAGGAGTTTCACAGCACTTCCCAATGAGAAAACCAGTATAAAAACACTTGAGGAATTTTTTCCTAGTGAAATATTATTGAATATTTCCAAATCAAGGGACTTGACATTAAAAGCAGCATTGTTATCAGTCCTTGAAACAACCTGGGCTGAAAGGCACAGTCAGTTTTTTCCATCTGGCATACAGCCGGTAACATTAAAAGATAAGGAGTATACCAGGCACAAAGTTGTCAGCTGCTCATCCCCATTACCATCAGTAACTTGATAGAAGCACTTAAATTTGATAAAATTTCTGTTGATAATCAAGCTCATCCTGGACTCAGGCATGTCATAAAGTTACTACATATCTAATTAGCTGTGCTAACAGCCCCAGGAGCACTTCTGTCCTGGGACACAAAAGGTAAAAACCACTATAAATTTAGTGTGTTTTACCAGTTATTTGACCCAGTAGGTAGTTGAACAATACCTACTAAGCTGCAGTAGCATGAGCTGTCAGTGTTTATTACTGAAGATCAAAAGAAACAAGTTGTTTCAGGGTTTCTTTTTGTTATGAAAGACCTCACCACTCATCAAAGGCGGCTTAACACTGCAGAAGGGACCATTTTAACTTTTTGTGTTGTAGACTAGCAAAAGCCCTACTAGTAGGTGTGAGTGAAACAAAATTTTAATAACTCATAGCCTGGAAGAAAATCATAGCACAACAAGAAATAAGCATGGTCATGCAGAGAGCCTTTCAGAGAAAGGAAAAAAAGCTGAAGGGGAAACTAAAAAAAAACCTACCGTTGAAAGAAAGAGGCACGAAAGGCAAAAGCAATGCAACTTAGGGCAACGCCAAAAAAGGTATTTACAAAGCAAGAGGATGGCACCGATACGCACACCCTACAGGAGATGGGCAAGGGCTGGAATTTTTCATAACAGTGATCGTAACACCTCTGAATTACCGCAACCCTTTTGCACAAAAGACATGGAGTTCTGGGGACCCACCTCACCCTTCTAGACCACTGCTACCCTGCCAGTCTGAGGGGGAATAAGGACAAATAAAGGATAAAAAGAAAGGCAACCATCCAAAGACTGCTGCAAAACAGTGCCTCAATTCCAAACTTCAGGTCCCACATCTGCCCTGAGATACAGGACAGCCTGCACCCGCTCTTGCTCCCCACCCAGGGCCCACAGAGCTCTGATGATTCTGCTACTGCAGCCTGCTGGGGCAAAGAGGAAGGACACACATGCTGCTTCCTCTTCCTCTGCTCTCCCACTACTGACACAGAGGTCGTGCACCATCTCCACTAGAAGGGGCAGACAGGGTGGACAGGAAGCCTTCAGAAGTCCGCAGTGAGGGACAGCACTTTTCACACAGTGCTGCAGTAGCATCAACGTCTGGGTTATCATGCATTCAGAATTGAGCTACTGCTGTGATCTGCATCATTCATAACTTTCCCCATCCCCCCCCCATGAGGCCTTCCCAGTTAAGCAGCTGCTTTTGAAGGACTTGGGAAGCAAGTTTAAGAAATGAAACCTTAAGACAAAAAACACAGTAGCTTGAAGAACAAAAGAGATTTGTTCAGCTCCTCCACGAACAGAACAGAATTGGAAAATCTGAAGAGGTTACCATCTTTTTCAAACAGTGTACACAGATTCCCAGTCTTTTCTTTCACTTCATCTTGACTGGCATAAGCATTATTCATATTCTCCATTACGTCTTCTACCTTGGTCCTTTTGGCTGGTGGCAACAGTTCCTCCCCTGAGCTCTGTCAATACAAGAGATAATTAACTGGCTGCCACCATAACCACCGACAGCATTGGAAAAGATCACAAACTGACCGTGGGCACTTCATGGCAGTGAGCTGATCCTCTTATTGGAAACAGGATTTTACACTAAAGGTCTTCCTAAAAGGTGAGGATTTAAACATAGCCCTCACACTTTGCCAAAATGCCACCAATCGCTTTTGATATTTGGTTGAAACAATCTGCCTCTGCTTCAACATCAAAGCTTCTCTCTGAGCCTTTGTGATACGCTGTACAGCACAAAACCTGCTAGAAGTGCTCTCTCCAACCTCAGTAAAGGGCTGCAAGAATCCTGCCCAGTGTTGTTTGGTTACTGAAGAAAGACTGATCAGCTCTTTAAATTCTACCACAGGTAGAAAATGGAAAAGCATTAGCCTTACTGATCCACCACCAGAAGCATCTCTGTTAAATAAATAACAGCTAAGGAGAAAGACCACAGAAATGTGACTTCAAAGAAGAGGAAACAGGGCTCCCTAGTACAGCTGTTAACAGACTTAATGTGGTCAACTGACTTGTTAGCGAGAAAAGAACTGCACCTCTACCAACCACCAATTAGCAAAGCAACCAATCCTCCAACACCTGAGCCTGCTACAGCTTAGCCCATTTACTCCAACACAACTTTTTAGAATCTCAGGATCTTTTCCACTGCAAAGGCTCCATTTCCTAGCACCTCAACAAAATTCTTCCTTGCATCATGAGATTACCTGTACACGTTTGAGATTCTCCCAAATGCTACCAAGTGGTGTCTTTAGTGTGCTAGTTCATACGCTCTGCTATGATACCGCAGTACAGTACTTCTTTAACACCAAACACTCTGAAAGCCTTACTTTAACACAAGTCAGATATCACTAGTATGATTTCGTAAGGAATAATTATCTGTTTTAACAAGTTTTAATTTGTCTTAGTCTCAGTTTTAATTTTCACAAAGGTATTCCATACCTCAGCTGACCGTTTTTGTCCCAGTATCTCCACAGGCACTTGCTCACTAACCATTTTAGTTATACATTGTGAACAAGCGTCTACACCTTGCGTCTTCCATTCTCCAACGAGTATTTCTGTAATTCCTAGTGATTCAGCAACCTTTAAAAACAGTTATAAGGGAAAAAAAAGTGACAGTTAGCCTCTCTAAGCTGAATGCATAAATACTGAAATACTGATTCATTTTCTTAAAACTGCACTAGAACTACACAGGCTCTAATCTGACAATCAATCATCACAGCTCAATGAAGTTTTAGACTCCCATGCTTTCTGCTAGCCTCCCTAGTAACAGAACGTGACCTTCATTTGAAGGTGAACATTAACATGCAAACGCAAAAGAATTAGGAGTGCAACAGTTATATATAGACTCCAGAGAGAGTTACCAAGAGCAGAGTTTAATAAAAAACACTGTCAAGGCTCTCCCATTATTTAAAAAATATTTAAGTCTTCCTGTTTAAGAGTATCTCTTAATAGTTAAGCATTCTCCCCATGTCATTCCATTCCTCTGCTGCTTCATCCTTTTGTAGTAGATGTGCTACTGTGCAACTTCTCAAGGCTGGCTTGATTTTTTTGGTTTGTTTTGTGGGCCCTTTTTTGTTGTCTTCATTTAGTTTGTCTTAAAGGGCATAATTCCATACTAAGAATGCACATTAACACTGAAGAGAAGCAAGAAAGAGGTTCCATTTTGGGAATGCCAGTATCGACAGCATCCCTTTTTACTTAGTGCAACTTTTTTCTCCAAAGGGAAACAGCAGTGTTAATTATAAAATAGCAAAATAAGCAAGCAGTAATTCTAGGAAGTTTTCAGTATGTATAGTGAACAGCAAGATTTATTCTGAAAAATAATATTGACTCCTGCTTACAGTCCATACAGGACTTCATTTTTTAAATCAGGATTATCATAAGAACAAAAATCTTATCTCCACCACCCCTACTCTGAATTTTCCAGTACACTCCCCTCTCATAGTAGCTGCAAGTTCAGTGCTTATGTACCTTAATGAGCATGCTGTTTAGAAAATGTGTTGGAGGTAGTATACAAAATAGTATTTTCACTACTGGAAACAGAGAAGGGAAAACCAAAAATATGTAATGTACAAAGAGCTGGTTTATTCTAAGCTAGGGGAACACAGATTGAAAAGGATCCATAAGGATAAACAGATTCATGTTGAAAAAACAAAACAAAAAGATATCCACAGAAAACTAAACCTACATTGTCTTTCTAGATATAGCTGCATAAGCAATGAATCTGAAGAATCACTAACAGCTTGCAGTTTTATTAATGTGTTCTCTACCTTCCGTATTTGTTAGTACAACTGTGAACTGCACAGAGGCATTCAGTTTGTCCTCATTTTGCAATGAAACCACTTATCCCTTTATATCAAGGCCATTCATTTTAAAAATAGATCCCTCCTTCCTAATCAAACATCAAGATGGACTTTTATTAGGAGTTAAAGCACAATACACATTGCAGTAACGTGCAGCTTCATACTACCCTAGATGTGCAAGACAAATATCAGCACTGCTAGAATTTTATTTAATATTTCTAGCTCTATCTACTGCATAAGCTAGAACTGTAGTTTTTATTACAGATTTCTTTTTCTCTCATCGGTTAGCCATTGCACTTTTTACAATAGTATATATTTCTGTTCATCAAAAAACATGTTTTCTTCAATAAACTTTACCAGCATAATGAAACTGATCAGACAAAAATAAAGGATTTATAAATAAAACAAAATGAACAAACAAGAAAATCACAGTACCAATCAGAATGCTTTATTACCTTAGCATCTTTTATTTCAACAGGCTGCTGGCAACTCAGCAAACCAGAATTACTGAGGTGATCATAAGCCATTTTCTTTACCATATTATGCAAGTTTTCAAATTCCCTATACACATCCGGGAAGTAAGCTTTGGCTGGATACCCTTTTTCAACCTATGAATAAGAGAAAAAAAAAGCATTTATTTCTCCCTCTCTATATTTTAAAAAAAAAAAAGATGAAATTAAAATCTTTTAGTTTGTTTTGTTGACCACTTTAAAATAGAAACATTCCAGTCAAGAGATTATGGAATCTTCAGAAATGCCACTGAACCAGGCAGCAAAAAGGCAGGCTTTCAATCAAGAGACCTACCAGCGTTCTGCCTGCGTTAAGACTGATGTGTGGCACATTTACATTCTGCACAATCCTAACTTAGGAAATTCAGGATACATCTCTAAAAGAATCTTTTTATGAGTACTAAAATAATTTAACATTTTTACATTAAAAAGAAAAACAGCTCACCTTCATCAACAGAAATTCATATACTGTAACAAGCTTTGTAAGACGTGGAAGAGCCAGCTCCACCAAGTCTTCGTTATCGCACTGTTGTATTAGCTGTCGAAAGCCAGAATGAGTTTATTAGAGCAAAGTAGCCTAATGAGGTTATGCATCCCACATTCAGAACGTAAAATATGGCTACTTTTGTTGAAAGATGCTATGTGCTTAAGCAGCTTTGAGAACAGATGCAAACATAACACCAAAAAAATGAGATACATTAGAAAACCTCTAAACAGTTACTATCCATACACAGACAAAACTCAGTCCCACAAGTACTGTCAATTCATAGAAAGAAGAGCAGTATCAGTAGATTTTGTAGTCATAAAGGATCTTCCACAACACACAGGAAACAAACAAAAAACTGTGTTAGCTGCACAGGGTTTTAATCCCCACTCTATCTTCCCCGCCAAGCATGTATTTTGGTTTTTTTTTTCTTCTTTTTTGATGTTGCCCAGTTTCAGTTCGGCTTATTTCTTTTTATTGTGTTGGAAGAGATATATAATACTAGCTAGTAAAACTTTCCTTCCCCAGAAAAAGGATAGCGAGAGTACATCTACACATCAAAAGTCCCTTTCCAGACTGTTTCCATCTTCCCTTTGACCAGTGTTCTGCTAGAAGTATTTTTGCCTTAAATGACAACTTAATGTTTTCTTCTTAGAAGATGTTTTAGGCTTTCATCTTGTCAGTACACAAGGATGTAAAAAAAAAAATTAACTCTAATAAATAAATAAATGAATGAAATCTTTTTGAAAATGATTCCTTGAAAAGAAGTGATCCAAAATGAGGGGGAGTGGGAAGAAAAGAGGGCAAGGAGAAGATACTTGTGAAGGAATTGCAGAAGAGAACCATACCTCTTTTAACCTAGCTTTTCTTCTGAATACATTGTGTTCTGCTGACACACTACTAAGTGACTTTGAAGGGGACTGACCAGGTCTGCTAAGCCTTCCAGAGCACCTAGATCTTCCACCCATCCGTGGTCGACCACGTCTCTTTGGTCGTCTGGGTCTTCCAGGTCCTTTAGGAGTTACAGGTCCTTGGTGGCCTGAACTTGTTTCATTTTGTTGTTCTGCCAACAGGTGTCTGCCTTCTGCAGACTTGCAAGTCTTAATTTAAAAAAAAAAAAAAAAAAGGTATTTATTCACCATTTTAAACAGGGTTTTTAAACAGTTCTATAATTAAATTCTTCATCTATGCAAACAATAAATAGCATATTAAATAAATGTAAAGCTGTATAACTGCAAGGAAAGTTGTGGAATAAACCCAACACATTGGTAAGACTGCTACTTCTGCACCACATCTATACCATTGTTTGCAAAGTTAGCATTTTTGACAAAACACAGAGATTAAGGGAATATAAGAGCTGGTTTGTGTCAGTGAACTACATTTAATACTTCTGAAGTAAAACATAGCCTCTTCAAATAAAGAGGCTGTAGAAATAAATCTTCATTAGCAATCAAACACACCCAAAAAATACCCTTGGGTTTTGCTGGAACTACATCAAAACATGAAGGCTTTATACGAAAAGCTCTCAACAGTCGTGAATGGACACAAGCCCAGTAGCTAAAAATTAAAGTATAATCCAGTTTCCACGTTTCAAAAATCCTTCGTCTGCCATAAGAACACAGCTAAGAAGTAGCTTCTGTTATAAAACCACATGGCAGAGTTGAAGCTACATTTTCTATTTTTAAGTTATCATTGTGATTTCAATGCAAATCTTTTTTACTGATCAAAGCAGTGATTTCTTACTCAACATGTCTTGTCTTCCCCTCCAAGCTAGAATTTCTAAGAATGCCTCGGTATTTTTTGGGAGATGGGTTTACAATAGTACTGAGGTATATCAGGCTCCTTTCCATGATCAGTATGTTCTCATCCCAACGCTCAGTAGCTCCCTACTATTCTAGTGATTAGGAAAGTTCTAAAAAGGGCAAACGTACATCAGTTCTACCCAGGGATTAAATTACTAAATTAGTTCTAAAAATTACATAAAGACTAGGTTGAGAATGGAGATCTTGATTGCCTTCCTGTCTGTGTCAATGTACCAATTTTAATAACCCTGCAATTCTTTCTAGAAAGCCATTTACGTGGCCAAAAACTGTAACAAATCAATGAGTCAATGTACAGATTTGTAGAATCTGTATTTGCTAGTTAGCAGTAGCAGTCAGGAGTTGTATTACACATGAGGCTGTCTGAAATTCTTCTAAATTCCCATCATCCTGGGTAAAATAAATGCCGCACGGGGAACTAACAACTATATAATACAGAGAGCAGATTTCAGTATTCTGCAGTTCTCAGATTCTCAACATTTTCCACAGATGACAGAGAAGATGACAGTATGGATGGGGGAGGTTTGTTTGCTGCACTGGCAGCAAATTTTCACGTAAATTTTCACGCTTCCTAGAACAGCTTCACATTTACAAATAAAAGTAAAAAATGGACATTGCTACATCTGAGAGTATTTTTTCCTAGACACCAACTGCATCAGCTCTTGCTGCAAGATGTTAAGAGTCATTTTAATATTAGAAGAGAAACTCGACTTTGAAGTGACCAGCTTGTAGCATCACAGAAAAAAAGAACTGCAGCTGAAGTAGCTTCCAACACAGAGAATCAAGTTTCACCAAAGTGTTTGCTTTGCAAGGGAAGCTAAGCCACACTTCAGCCACCTGCTTTAGGAAACACTGTTGGATTCCAAACAAGTGTCATCACAGAAAAATCTCTACTTCAGGAACAGAAATTGATAGAGCAGATGATGCCTTGCTGCCTATCGTGCTACAGGCTGTAACTGAACAATGCTGTGTTCTTATCCAAATGCAGAGAATAACACGACTCACGCAGACAAGATTTTTTTCAAGCTGAAAACTGTAGAAAACCAGTAACAAATGCTCAGGGAGCATTTTGTTTGTGTGCCTCTGCGAGAACACTATTCCTGCAGCATTGCAAGAGACCACAATATGCTTTTTAAAGCACTTCAATGGAAAATTTGTTTAATTTAGTATATTGGTTGATTTTTATGAGCAGTACGAGGCAATGCAGCTACAGAACGGCCATTCAACTTTGCATAGCACTGACAGCTTTTCCAAGTAACACACTTTACCTGTTCTCCAGCCTTTGAATCAACAGTTTCTTCCAGACTGGTAGCTAGTGCATTTTCATTATTTAAAGTGACAGCAACTGAATCCAAGTGTCCTGGACTCTTAATTTCCTCTCTTATTCCACAGGCACTGTCCACAAACATACTTCCATTGGGCTTATTTAAAGGTATTTTTTGAGGTAAAGACTCCAGCTGTCCATGGCCTGGGTTAAGTTTATAATGTCTTGCTAATCCTCCTTTTCCTATATAGGACTTCTCACAAGTCTGGCATTTAAACATTTTGGGTTTTAGATTATAATTTGAGGAACTGAATAACACATCCTTTCCCTTCACCTTTCCTTCTTCATCATCTTCTATGCTCAGCTCGGAATAGTCATCAGAATCAGACTGATGACCATCAGCCAAGTCTTCCATTTTAATGAATTTATAATCTTTAGCTTTGTATTTTGGGGGGCGTGAAATCCGTCCAGAACGAGTTTTCACTTTCAAGGATTTTTTTAACTTGTCATCTTTGTGGGTTTTTTCACGGCATGGTATCAGAGTATTTGCTGAACTGGCTGCAACCGTGGCAATATTTGGAGACCTCATAGCCCGTGTAGCTGTGGCCCGTGTAGCTTTCTGTCCATTTAGCACCTTAGATGTGGGATTCTTGTTCACAGACACTGATCCATGAGATGGTAGAGGTCTCTGCATAAGCAACTGGACTGGAGACTCAGAAGAACTATGCAGGAATAGTTGCTGCTGCTGCTCAGTTCCTGTAACAGGCTGTATCCTAATTATCTGGGGATTAATAATGCCAAGTCCTGGTATGCTAGAATTTCTACCAAACGACTGACTCAGCGTTGTAGTTTTGGACTGGATTGGTGCCAATGGTGGCATTGGCCTTTCAGTTTCCTTCATCTGTCCTGGCTGAACTTGGACACAAATGGCTTCCAGCTGCTTTTGTGGAAAAAAGGAAGAGTTGGGATTACACAAATACAGTGTTTACAAACAATACTTATCAAGATGATACATGCACGCCCTTAAAGCAAAGCATGAAGAACCAATGCACATCATGAGTTTTTCATTTTAATGCATCAAAGCACAGATTTAACATCAAAGCACAGATTCCCTTCCTTCAAGCTACAGGCTTTGCCTGCACATTTACTGATGTGACTGCTGTTCAACTAAAGCATGCAAAGCTTGCTCTTAAGCCATGTCACAGCTTTGCTTCCCCACTAGCAGGCCTGTTCCAGAAGAGCAGAGTCAATGCCCTCACCTGGGCAGATTCGTAACCTTCAGCAAACCGAACGCAGGAGAACTATGGTCTGCTAGGGATGCAGGCCACACGCCGGATCCAGGATAAACGCTCAGCTCAGAAAAAACTTGGTGTGTGTATTACCGTTCATCATATTACCGGTTCATTACTGGTGTGTATCACTTTTCATCTCCCTCATACTCTCTCCTCCTCATCCGAATTCCTGCCTCAGCTTGTATCAATCACTTGGCAACCCCTGCACCTCAAAACGTGGGCTGAGAGCCCTGGTACTGCCGCCTTCCATAGGACGGGCATGCGTTACCTACCTGTGTATCGCCACTTGACCGCTGTGAAACACTCTCCTAAGCTGCTTTAACCGCACCTGAGTCAGCCCAAAATACTGACCGCGGCAGCTCGCACCTACATTCAGACACAGATTTTTCCAAACCACGCTGAAAGTTCTGTCTTTCAGCCGCAAAACTCGAGTCTACACCCAAAGGCAGGTGAGACTGGGAAAGAAGGCAAAAAAAGAAAAAAAACAAAGTCAAAA